TTTGTAATTATACTAATTTTTATTTATCGTTAAATTATTGCTAATGACTAATTTTTCTTTTTTTTAATATAGTATCTAATTAAAAAGTGAAATAGAAGATAAAGTCTTCAACTGTTTATCTCCTTTAGATTTTTTAAATTTATATCATGGTAAAGTGTATTCTCCAATAAATTAATTAATATTTTGATACACTATTTAATTAAAAAATTGGAAATAAAATTCTATAAGCGTTTATTTTCTTCGTTAATTTCTTTATTTATTTCATAATTAAAAATATATTCCGCAGTAACTAATTCCCTTCTTTTAATACAATATCTAATTAAATAATAATGTTGCAGATAAAAAGTTCTTTTACTATGTATCTTATTCATTAAAATATAAATGTTTCTTCTAAAAATGTTTTTAATTTTATTAAATTAGAAAGCCAAGTTAAATTAGGAAGCCAAATTCAAGATAAATAACTTTTTAACTATTTATTTCCTTAAAATTAAATATTTATCACTTTTTTAAATAGCCGATAACTGCACATGCATTACTGCATAATATTATAATAGTATAGTGATAAAAAAAAATATCAATTCCTCCCTTTTATATTCTACAATTTTATCGATATAATAAATGTAATATATTTGTTTCCGCTGTGATACATGTATATTTATTTGAAACGATATTCCTCGTTTATTGAATATTAATTTTTTTTTTATTTTTTATCGCATACATGATCCTTTTTAATCGACTGTTTTTATTCCAACTGAGAAGGCGTATGACTATGAATTTTTTTCAAACATTATCTGCAGTGGTAACATCGTCGACGGCGGTCTCTCACCGATCGACTGTCAATAAATGCATCTTCCGAGCGGATCAATAATAGGTATACTTATTGTTAGCATCGTTCGTCGTCATGTGTATTCATCCGCATGTTCGCACGCACGCTAGGAATCCTTGTCAGTTGCATTGTTGCTGATTGTTGCATCAAATAATCAAGTTGCATCAGAAATGGTAGGAACGTAGAAACGACAGTGAATGACAGCTGCGGAGCGTCATGCTGAGTTTCCTTGTCAAACAACGAGGCCTTCGCGTTGTAAATCGCAATCAGCAGATCGCAATGATGGCTTCCGCCGGTGAGTACGATATACATTGATAACGCGTTATCGCGGCGACGCGGTTTGATAACGCTGACATGATGAACAATAGCGAATTAGTATCATGGAACATTAGCGGTATAATGTAGGATGCAGAATCGTATAACAACGAATGGAGTCATTGCACCATGTATTCATTTTGTCACTCAGTAATTAAGCCAGCAAGTACAGGCGTGCCGGTATCAGTGACGTAGCTAAGCGTGCATTCATCTCATTCAAGACAATAATGGGTGCTTTTCTATTTAATGACCAAAGTCGACAAACATTTTATTTTTCTTAGAATCAATGAGTAGCAAAGACAGAACGACACTTATGTATCACTAAATGCAAAGCGTGCTACGCCAATGCATTTATGATTTTGACAGTTGTTAACGCACGTGAAGGGTATTTCATTTATCGAAAAATTTTGTTAACGTGATTAGCTACAAGATAAAGAATTTATTACTGGAGAACTTTTTTTATTCTGTAACTAACCAACACATTGAAAAATGTGTGCGTAAATAATTAGCGTACAAAAATTTGTAAAACACTGAAATTTATACTTCCATCTAATATCCTTGCGATTCTAAATCTATTATTTGCTTCTTTTTATTGTTCGTCCAATTCGCGCCCCTCGTCATAGATTCGGAACTGTCGATCCTCTCGCCCGTGGTTTATTGTGTTGGTAGCAATGGTAGCATCTCTGGAATACTCCGGATCATGCTCCAGCATTCGAAGAACCGGAATCTACGAAAGTTTCGACTCTTTCGACTGATTCATCATCTGGCAATCGACATCGCTCTGTGAACGCAAAGTTGAAAGTTTAATGAAAATCGAGAAATATTATTCGCTCAAAATATTCTGCTTTTATTAAATATCATGTACGCGAATGTTTGGTTATGCGCGTGTGTATTCTATTCGGTTTGGTTAGTTTAGCTGCACCTCCTTCGCGATAAAGGTGTAGATTTGTGCTTCTTTATCATGAGGGAAGAGGAAGAAAGTGCAGGTTGTACAGGTGATCGGCTGGCGGGTTCATCTGTTCGAGATGGCGCTCGTGTCTCGTTTTGGCGGGAAAGTTGCGCGGCAATTTCTGGTTCGTTGTCCATGTTTGTCTTCATCGATGTCATTCCTGCCTTGTCGAGCTGAAAGATCAAGAATCGTTACTTTTCAAACTGCATTTTCGTCAAGAGCCACTGCAATCGCACGCTGTATCGGATTACACGAACGTTGTTATTCGATTTACGTTGATTTAGGAGTCAGTTGGTTTCGAATCGCAAACGAATAAACATCTCGTGCAATAATCCCTTGGTGAGTGACAAAACGTTGTAAATGTGACTGAGAATTGAAATGGAGTTTAATTGTCTGTTCGATCGATGAAAATATTTATATTTCAATAAGTTGTTACTATGTGGCTTTGCGTACAATGAATTAAATAGAAATAAATATTAAATATTAATTTAACTAAATTGAAAATTAAAATGTACAAGAGAAAGTTTTTGATAAGATTTCATTATATTTTACATATATTACATATTTTCTAACTGATAAGATGATCGATATTTAGGGACATATATCCTTTCATTGTGTTGATTAAGTTAACTCTAGAAAGTAATATTATCTTATTTAAAGTATATTGTAATACGGGGTCTACAAGATAGAAGTCGTAGCCATGAGTCATAGAATTTTGAGAGAGAATCGTAGAAGATTAATCAATCAGTCCAATATGAGAAGAATAATCAACTATGATTGGTCAGTTTTCTACAATTTAAGACCTATGACCGCTGCAACTAATATTGTAGACTTCCTATTACTGTTTGCAATATATGAGGTGTTATATTTCTTACTGAGCCAAGCAGATCCTTAGTATGTTTTCAGTACTAGGCAATGAAGTCAAGCATGTTGTCTGTTTAGGTAAAAAAGCTCTTGAAGCCTTCATCAAAATGTCTGGTTCCATCGGTAAACTGTACAAACGTCCTTTCACTGTGTGCGTAGAGGGCAATATTGGAAGTGGTAAAACAACATTTTTAAGTCACTTCAAGAAATTCGACAATGTTACTGTATTAGAAGAACCTGTTGAACTTTGGCGTGATGTGTGTGGGACGAATCTATTGGTGAGACAGAAAATATTTTTCTTTTATATAAAACTTAAAAGAATTTAATATAAATATTTATTATTTTTGTTGTTAAATCTTAATTATTTACAAAGACTCCACAACAAATAAAAAGATGCGGAAATGTTATATCGAGTGGTTATTTAACATATTAATATTATTAAGCACAATTAGTGTATATTTTTAATAAAAAATATCTGAGATTTTTATATCAAATAAACGCGCATATAACAATAATGCAAAAAAAAATCAAATTAATATCTTAGAACTATGAATTATACATATTTTATATAAAATAATACTATGCTTATATTAATAATTACACATAAACGTAATTAATGTAGATATACACGATAATATTAATATTATATTATTGTGTATATCTATATTAATTACAAAGAATAGAAATTAAATTAAACATTACAAAAATGCATTGCAGGAATTAATGTACAGCGAACCATCTCGCTATGCTTTCTTGTTTCAATCGTACGTACAATTGACTATGCTCCAATTACACACTTGTAAAACACCCTCGCCTTACAAAATCATGGAGAGATCTGTCTATAGTGCAATGTGCTTCGTTGAAAATTTGAAACGCAATAATATACTACATGACGTTGAAGTTACAATATTAAAAAATTGGTATGACTGGTGTTTAAAAAATGCCACTATAGAAACTGACTTGATAGGTACATATAATGTATGGATTTTATGAGAAATTATAATTGAAGAGGCATCTATTGTATATATTTATTTAATTTATTTATATTCTTTGCTAAATAGTATATTTGAGAACAACACCTGAGATCGTGTACGAAAGAATGAAACAACGAGGTCGAAAAGAAGAGAACGCTGTCTCGTTAGAGTATCTGAAGCAAATCCATCAGGTCCATGATGACTGGCTCTATCATCAAATTTTAAAACCACTGCCATCGCCTGTTATAACGATAAACGGTGATCGAGAATTACATGAAATGGTGGAGGAATTTGATAAATGTAAAAATGAAATCTTCAGTAAGGTAATAGACGAAAGCGATGTAAATAATACAATGATTACGGTATCGACAAATCGCGTGCTACCCAAAATTAAAGCTGTTTCAGATTAAATCGTAAAGTAAAAATAATTAATTTAAATACGATTAAAACAAATGCGTCATGTATTAAATTTGATTAATTATTACAACTTCGTACATTGTACTATTTTCATTTTACTTGCCGCATTTATTACTTTTATTGCATATATTTATTTCTTTTTTCATCATATTTATAATATGTTAAAAACAGTACGTAATTGACCAATTATTTCATATTAAGGGATTAATTTTACATTTTGCCAGTATTCAAATTACAAAGTTAAGGTATTTTAATTTATTAACAATAAATTTATATCTGACTCAATATGTATTTAATTGAATTGTCATTGATATTTATTTTGTTATTCTAAATTATTATCAATGAGAGAGATTTGTTGACATTTTAAATAATATTTTGTACATTTAAATTCTTTGTAACGTACTAGATATAATTAGATTTTATCATTGAGTACAAAATAATATTAGTATCAAATAATTAGAAAACAAAATATCTGGAGATATTGCGTGATGAATGATAAACTACTTACAACAAATTTGTTAACACGAGCGTAATTATATTAGAATATTTAATATATCCAAAAAATTTTTATTCTTTTTTTATAAAACTGTTTTGTTAAACGTTCGAAAGGAAAGAATTACAAAAATGTATAGTATACATATTTATCTAATAAAATCTAAGAATTTAAAAATATAAGGATAGGAGAAAGAAAGTTATTATAGGACGTTGTAGCCACATGCGTATACTTCAATTTATGTAATGCCTGATTTGATTGTGTAAGACCAAAGGCATATGTATATGGACTTTGTACAATGACTAAAAGAAATACATATTGTTTGGAGAATTGCATGTTTATTTCTACTAGATTTTATAAAATTAGAGATAAGTATAAAAAAATATATGTTGCACACCACACACACGCGCGCGCGCACACACACACACACACACACACATTGGAATATTACACATGTGTATCGCGCAAAGCGACGTTACAAATTCGTCCGTGATATATTATTAACCAGATCATGTTCCTATTTGAAACGTAGGCTCAATGCGATTCCATACAATGTCATATCGAAGACTGAATACAAATTAGTCTAGAACAATATTCTGTCAGCCTATTTGATATTTAGGCGAATGTAAACTTCGCAATCGGAATGGTGCGTCTATGAACTCTATGTGCTAAAATATGTATAAAAACAATGAAACAATATTTCGAGTAAAAAAAAATAATCACAATCGTTTACGTAAGCGTATGTACAAGCGTTAGGTAGAAATTTCTATTTGCCGCGCCCAACTAAGACGGATTCTTGCGAGCTGCAACTAACCGCTCGACGCAGTCGTACTCCTGACAAGACCATAGTATGCTAACTAACGTGCCGAGTTGAGCATCCCGTGTGTTGGCTTGTTTCCAATCAAGCAATAACTGATAGATTACCTGAAATCACACATGGATTAAAATTAGCATAAATTGTTCGCTATTAGTATACATTTACAAGAAATGTGTGAATTTCACATGAAACGTTTAATTACATGAATAATACTTAATGTTTTATTAATAGTAATCGGTCGTAAACGAATGAATTTCAAATATCTTGTTCAAACAAGATTACAGTCTGATAAAAAAAATCACCAAGATTGATGAATCATTCGCGATAGAATATCTGATTCTTAGAGTTCGATATTCACCTCGTCGATACCCTTGTGTCTATAATTCTCCTCGAATTGATCGATCTGTCCGTCCGAATACGAGAGTCTTCTCGCGACGTCCCGCCATCCGTGCCCAACGTGTGTCTTAAGAATGAACATGTCGTCGAACCCGAGCTCCTCTTCGCACGTGCTCAACTCTTCCACATTCTCGGACATCGGCCGATGCTTCGGTTTCGAAGCCGTCTCGGATTGCGTCGCGTTATTGTTCGCCGGGTACTGATTCACGTTGCATATGTAACTTGTGCGCGAGCCGATCTTCACTCCATTGGAGTTCACTATGTTGTAATTTACCACATTCGTGCCTTGTGCTGGAAATTAATTTTTAAAAATTATTGAAGAAATATCGTTAACACTGCAAAATTATAATTACATTTAATTATTTAAAAAGTGAGATGCCATACGAAATTTTCTTGCGAAATCTGTTGCATTCGTTAAACATTTTCGTGAAATATTCAGTTTTTAATATAATATTTTAATTAATCATTACATGATTATAAAAATTCATCTTCTTTGTTGATATCGCGTAACTAGGGCGCTTAGATAACGAGCTTTAACTCTTTGATATCATCACTCAATCTGTTTCAATATTGAAACTACCATACGCGTTATATTAGTTATTCTATCACGAATAATCCTGAGATTTGAAGCAGTGGAAGATTTGCATGACATAAAATTTCGGCGACTATTACGATTCCGCTGAGACGATAAAGTCTCGTAAAATATTTTACGATATGAATACGTTGCGCGTAAAACTGCATATTTTAAAAAATGTTGGTTTGCGAACGAAATAATTTATACTGCAGTTTTTTAAAAAGAATCGAATACCATAAAAATACACAACAGCCAAAAATCTCTTCAGCAATTGGTATTCCCCGAGTTTACGCTGTTAATCGTGATAAGGCATCTCATCGTCAGTCATACTAATATTTATAAGAGGAATATATGGAGCGGCATATTTTCGTTTGCTTTTTGATAAAATCGCGACGTATATGCGGCATTCGTTTCTTAACAATTCTTGTCTCGAATCACCGTTAAGTAAATTATAAATAATGCAAATGTAATACGTCACCTTATCGAAATGCCTACTTAGCATTGTGTAATTTCTAATCGCATTTTGCCTTTTTATTTATTTAATGAGATTTACAGAACCAAATCTAGTCGCATAATTATAGAATCACACTAATCAATTTTCGAAAAGTTTCTGCGCACAAAGATATCTTTTATTAAATTATTACATCCACATTGTCTATTTCTGTAAAAAAAAAACATTTCGCGAAAATATTCGTCTTCTCCACTGTAAAAAAAAAAAGAACTCCTAAATAACTCGCAATAAGGAAAAATGTTTTAGATAAAAGTTATGAACGCAGTAAAAGATACTTGAATACAAAATAAAATTCTAGAATTGCTTTGTATTTAAAATTATGTAAAGGCTCGTTAATAGCCCGATAACGTTTTTACTATATAACTTACAATATTTGTATTTTGGTTTCGTCTTCGTCCTTGGTCGTTTATACTCCTTTGATTCGCTCGTCGACCTCGTGTCGCCGAAGTCTTCCGACTTTGTACAAAAATCGGTGGGTGTCGTCGGCCTTGCGCCGTTTGGCATCGATTTTTGATCTTGCGTCGACATCACGTCCTCCTGTTCCTTTTCCGGCGTGGCAGGCATCGACTTCGATTGCGTTTTCGTCAATTCCTCGTCCGAAGTCGGTGAAAGATTGTGCATGTAGCTTCCGGTCCGCGGTGGATCCGGTTTCGCGTCTGTCGTCAACATATCGTGAAATCGGCGCGACAGTTGGGACAGGATTGGCATTTTCTTAAACGCTCGATGTGCCTGTAAATGATGTCTTAACGTTAAGATGTGTGCTTTAAAGATAATGTTCTGAAATCTTTTTGAATAAGAACGAAATATAAGCATGATTATAAATTATAAAGAATGATTATGACGTTTAATGCATCTTAATAAAATATTCCTAATGTATAATTAAATAAAAGAACGAGCCGTGTTATGCATATTTATCTTAATTCTTAACTCTTTATTATTTACGTGGAGTTCATAAATTCGTTAAATATAGATATGAATGCTATTTATATATACATTTAGTGCAAATTATTTCACAATTAAAAATTTTTTATCTAAAGGATGTATAGAATATTATCCATTTTTATTTAATTATAAGTCATTAAAGAGAGCAAGGAAAATTGAAATATAATGTGTGAGAAATATACACAACTAATTATGTTAAAAATAAACGATAATACAGTAATAAATGCTTTTTCAGTATGGCGTACTCGGCTTTCTTTGTCCAACGCTTTTTCCAATGCTTTTTCCATAATTGCTTGATATTGTTTTTGATTGAAAAAAATATTGTTTGCAATATGAAAGTTATAAGCAACCGAATTAGGTTGAGTATCTATACTTAAGTGTGTTGTTCTCGTAGTGTAACGCTTGAGAATTAATCCAATTTTTACATTTGCAGTTAGAAAAAATGCACAACATTTAAAACACACGATTTAAAAATCATGTGCTTTCAAGTTTTACATTCGTTTCGCTACACACGATATTTCTCAATGCCGCAACTAACGTCAAACCAGACACTCCTTACATTATTTCTCGTTAAATAGATACAGCTAAGTAACCAAGCATAGCATTTTCCTCGGAGAGACTCGCGTTTATTGTCATAACGAAAAATATGACGAAGCACTGTCGAAAGCGTGGAAAAATATTTCACGAAAGTACCAAATTTATATATACAACTTTTTATGAAAATTAGTTTATCACTTCTTTTTCAACTCACATATTTTTTAAAATTCAATTTTAGTAGGTCTTTAATTTGACAATATATATTTTAGGTTATCTTAATTTAATACATTATAGTAATAAAATTGAAATTATTTTGGTTACAAACAAGCTCTATGATATTTGTATTGAAGATAAATAAAATCTGTTGAATGAATCTGTTTTTCTGCTCTCACGGATGTGCCATTAGCCATTACCGTAATTATATGCGATTCTAAAATTAACAATCCACTTATCCCATATATAATACTTCCGGCGCTATTGTCAGATACATACAAACATGCATCATTCGTTTACATAGTTATTCTTCGAAAATAAATAATATTCCGGTCTGCGAAAAAGTTAGCAATATAAAATTGAAACGCTATTATGCTGTAATTGAAAATATTGTCCTGTAATTGAATACGTATATGTGATTTCACATGAAACGTTCGGTTGAAGATTTAGAATGTTATCGAAGATGGAGATCTTTGTGAAGTTGTTATATTCGAACATCGCAATTATATAACAGTCAAATTTAAATTTCGTATCCATTCATTAATATACTTCTAAAATATGACAAAATAAAAACAACTTGTCTCGCAATTCCATGATGTTCCAGTATTCGTTTTCCCAAGCTCTACAAAATAAAAGCAAATTACGCGATTTGAATATTGGTAATTCCTGCATCGTGCTTTTTTATATAAATAGATGTAAACAATATAAGTCCCACAAACATCGGGTTTTGCGATTATCGCATTTAAGATTAATCTGAGTCATCCGAGGCGATCAAGAAAAAAAATCGCTGGAAATTCCGACGTTCTTCTCAGTCACGTTTCTAGCTATGATAAAAAAAATCCGAGATTACGTTGACCCCCTGCGTGACGTGCATGTCTTACTCTCAGAATCTCTAGATATCTAATACTGCTATGTAAATATATCTAACGTGTAAACTGCCAATGTATGTAATCTAGTTATCAGTTGATACGCACTTTTCTTCGTCCATTTCTGATATATAATCAACATAATTCTGCCGATCACTCGTGTGAATATGTTAACTCGTCAATTTGTAAACTTTTATTCCCGAGTTTTAAATTGCTTCGGAATACCTCGACCAAAAATGTAGCAAAAGTATAAATAAAAAAATTTATTTATCTATTTATTTATTTAAAAACTTTTTGATAACATTTCACTCTAACTAAAACTTATCTTTCATATATAATATGAAATGAAAAATAATATGTTTACTGCGTAATATCGTAGATTTAATTTTGGAAAATAAGAACTATTTCGACTTAGAATTCATGAATAACAACATTTAATTTGGTAATTAATTTCATTATTTACTTACACAGAGTGCTAATTAATTTTTCAAGTGTCTATCTGTTCAAAATACTACGAAAGAATATCGCGTTCAATGAAATTTTTGTCGTGAAAAAATCGTTTTAGATTTTATCACAGGATACTTCTAAATTTTTGAAGGTTACAAAACATCCTGTACCTTCGTGACTAAATCTATTTTCACTGCACCGTATTTACAGCAGACTTCCCGGAACTGTATTATTTATACCGATAAGGCGATTCTACGTATATACCTGTTACAGACAGTATTTTTAATTACAGACGTCTCGCAGGTGTGAAAGCACTTGTAATTACATATATATTATCATTCCTTTGTTGACATCTGGCTATTCTAATCGATTCTGATAAAATTTATAATAAATTGATAAATTGATCTATTTACAATAAATTCTATCGGCGTTACAATCTACAATGTTTAATTCTATATAATATTCATTACGTGTATATATATATATGTATATATAATATTTAGTGATATATCTAAAAGTAGTTTTTTATAAGAGCAAAGGAAGAAAAAATATTTATAATTTTTTAATTTGCGAATTAATTAATCTTAATTATTTTTTTATACTATATATCACTTGTAACTTTCAATTTTTCGTAATGTAAAAGAATAAGAAAAAAAGAGAGAGTATTCTACTTTCACCATTTTCTGCGTACTATTATATGATCATTTTTTATTTTATGCAGGAAAATTTTTTATTTTAATTAATAAAAGAAGTTAGAACAATTTTGATTATATATTCAATTATATGTTGTTATCTTCTACATTCCACTACACGACGATGCTTGTCGCTATCAGCTCAGTCGTGACCCATATGTGGTATATCTTTAAACTTTTTACAAGTTTCACGCATGTCGCAATGATAAACAGGAAAATGCATGGTATTCTGTAGCGCTATACTGAAAACAAAAAAAGAATATTTGAATATGATTCGAGAGAAGCTCTCTACATGTTCGAAGCGTTGATGAAGTCTAATAGCACAGAGAGAAAAAAATTTACTATAATATGAACGCGAAAGAGATTATTAAATTTAATTGTCAAATTTGTTTGATATTTATAGCAAATATTTTGCATTTGTTGTAAATAATTTTTGTAACGAAAAAAGAATTAATATTTGTTACATCTGCAAATAATTTGCGACCCCTATATTTGCAAATGGAATTTGATATTGTAGCACAGAATTAGCAGCCATAGGATTTTTTCCCTCGGCGAGACTTTCTATAATAAGCCATTACGTCTTCCTAAACCGTAAGAAATTGATTATAATTAACTATCCTTTTCACCTGTAACTGGTCAATTCCTTACGGCTTAAGACTTAAAACTAAATATTAACGGCTTATTGTAGAATGTATTATAGAATAATGCAATCTGTCAATATGTAATCTACTAAGTGTAATGACTAATGACCTATCTATTACATCAAACAAATGAATTACTCGAGATATGAATCGATCAAAGGATACTGTTGTTCTCTACGATGCGCTTTTTTCTGCAAAGAAATAACTACGGAATACATATTGCATGTTGGACTTACAGAAATAATGACTGACGTTTACACCCTTTTTTGGGCTTAATAACATCCGTAATTATGAAACTGACCAATCACAGTCATTCCATTATTGGCTAATTTCATAACTGCGGATGTTATTAAACCTACGTATAAACATAGTCAATATATAAATATAGTCATATTTTCAATATCTTGAAAAAAACAAGATTGTGGAGAATCAACTTAAAAACAGCGAGACTCTGTTTCGATTTCTTATCCTATATATTTTTCTAGGTCCTACATTCTTTTATATAGAGATTGAGTGGAAAATTTGAAGATTGGTGAATATATATATATATATATATATATATATATAAAAGAATTAAGATGAGATAGAGATTGTAACCGGTGTAACCAGTTTTGAGAACTTGTATTTTGCTTTGTGATTATTGCTAAGATTATTTTTAAAAAAGTATTATTGATCTTGAGGTCTTTGATTACAGAATTTGTCTGTAATAATATTTTGAAGACAATATAAAAGCCTACAAAAATATAATTTTTATAAAAATATTTTTAACATGTGTATTTGCTATTGTTTCACATATTTTTATATTGTAGTACTATTTTTTCAATTTTATAATTTATATATTTTACGTTCCTTTCCAAGGATTTCATGTCGAGAAATTAAGAAGTTTTTTGCTTTATATTTATTTGTCTACATACGTGTCGTATCTTGAACTGAAACATGAACAATGTGTACCCATCAAAAGATTTTCAATTCAGAAAATGAAATAGAAAACCGCGGAGGAGCGCCACACCTTGATCACATATCAGTAATGTTTCCGATTCAATATTGTACAGGATGTTTACGCGATAACTGAATCAAGAAACTCAATGTTTCTAAGCTGTAACACAACTCGCAGATTATTAATTAAATCAAATAATTAAACATCCGAATATTTCGCAATTTTAATTTCTAAAAAACTCCTCCGAGGATACTTCTTGGCGCATCTTTTTTTGTTGACTTTACACGATCATAAAATTCAAGCTTACAGAGGATTATCGGAGCGTTCAGTAAGCAAACTCGGCTTTTTATATCGCGAAATTAATATCATGCCTTCGCGAATTTCAGATAAAGTAACCCAAACATAAGCATTATGTAAGCTTTGTGTAATTTATGTGCATTATCAACCAAGTCTG